CAACAGAATGAGACTCTATGTTAAAAAAAAAAAAAAAAAAGTTTTTTAATTTAAAAAAATAATAATGCTAACAGGCATCTAATTTGGCAGAAAATGATCCCAGATGAAAAGGCAGTAACACAGAACAAAATAAAGAACACTGGAAAAGATAAACACGTAAGCAAAGAAGAATGAATACTGTTACAACAATAAAAATAATATCTAATGGGTTTTAATAACCTGTAGACCTAAAATGAATGCCAATAATAACATAAAAGGTGTGAGGCGATAAATAAAATTAAAATGTTCCAAAGTACCTTATTACCTAGGATTGTATTTCCCCAAAATAAATTTAAACATGTCCACAAATGACTCATACACAAATGAATGTTCAGAGCAGCACTATTAGAGATAGCCAGAAACTGGAAAAAACTCAAATGTCCATCTACTGTGAATGGATAAGCAAATTATGGTATATTTATACAATGGAATACTACTTATCAATAAAAATGAATGAACTACTGATAGGCTAAAAACTACAGATGACTCTCACAGACATTATGTTGAGAAAAAGAAGCCAGATTCAAAAGAGTACATACTATACAATTCCATTTATATGAAGTTCTAGCCAAGCAAAACCCCAATGTGTGATGCTAAAGTCAGGACAATAGTTCTCTTTGCAGGCAATAGAAACTAGAAAGGGAGAGGAGGGGACCTCTGGGAGGTTGCCAGTATTCTATTTCTTAATATAGTTGTTTACATGGATGTGGAAATTCATCAAGCTTCATACTTAGAATTGTGCACATACAAATACTTTTCTATATGAATTTCAAAAGTTTTAACAAATATTTCAGTCATACAAAAAGTTATACAAAGGATAATAAGTCTATATTCACCACTGAGATTAAGAAACAAAACCTTACCAACGTAGGTGATATATATACTACTAATTATACCTCCACCCACGCCACCAGAGATAAACCACTGTCCTGAATTTGGTGTCAACCACTCCCCTGCACTATTTTATACTTTTACTCCTTCTACAAGCTTCCCTAAATGATATGTAAAACTATTTTCCATGTGTTAAAACTATACATAAAAAGTAATTTGATTTCTTTTTTTTTTTTTTTTTAAAGACAGTGCCTCACTCTATTGCCCAGGCTAGAGTGCAGTGGTGTAATCATGGCTCACTGCAGCCTCAACCTCCCAGGCCAAAGTGATCCTCCCACCTCAGCTTCCCAAGTAATTGAGACCACAAGCATTTGCCACCATGCCTGGCTCTTTTCTTTTCTTTCCTCTTCTTTCTTTTCTTTTCTTTTCTTCCTTTCCTTTCCTTTCTTTTCTTTTCTTTTCTTTTTTCTTTTTTTTGTAGAGGTGGGAGTCTTCCTATGTTGCCCAGACTGGTCTTGAACTCCAGGGCTCCAGCAGTCCTCCAGCCTTGGCCTCCCACAGTGCTGGGATTACAGTTGTGAGCCACCACATCTGGCTGGTAATTTGATTTCTATTTTTAAAAGATCATTCTAAAATTAGCACAAGGGAATTTTCTTGGATGACAAGATATTGTATATCTTGATTAGAACATTGGTCACATAGGTATATATATATTTGTCAATATACGAATTGGATATTTAAGATCTGTGCATGTCATTATATGTAAATTATCTCACTTTAAAAAGTTTTCTAAATAGACCGTTCTTGCTTCTTCTCAGGGAATAGATCAGGGCTGGACAGAAGTGGAACCAGGAAAGTCAATTAGAATATTGCAGTAAACCTGATGAGCATCAAAGTCATCTATCTAAAGTGTAAGGAAGAAAAGATAACTTATGGATACAATTCTTTGAGCAGCTTAACTGTGAAGCAGGGCAGTAGCTGGAGGAAGAAGTGAGGCCAGAGGCCAAAAAAAGGTTTTAAAAGATACAAAACAGAACTTGACACTGTAGAAAGGAAAAACTGAAGAAAGACCATCAATGAGCTGGGCATGGTGGCTCACGCCTGTAATCCCAGCACTTTGGGAGGCCGAGGTGGGCAGATCAGTTGATGTCAGGAGTTTGCCAACATGGCAAAACCCCGTGTCTACTAAAATACAAAAATTAGCCAGGCATGGTGGCATGCACCTGTAATCGCAGGTACTTGTGGGGGCAGGTACTTGTGGGGGCACAAGAATCACCTGAACCCAGGAGCCAGAGGTTGCAGTGAGCCGAGATTGTACCATTGCACTCCAGCCTGGGTAATGGAGTGAGATTCTGTCCCCTCCACACCCCCACACCCCCTAAAACAAACAGAACAACAACAACACAAAAGACCATCCATGAAGAAACAACGAACAAAGTCCTTGAGAAGGTGGGGAGACAGAATATAATGTCCAAGTAGTTTGGTATTTGCTGGCTCATAATGTCTTTTTGCTTTTTAACTGAAAGGAAGTTAAAAGAAGGGTACATATGCAGGACAGATTGTTTGGTGGTGAAAAGATAAAAGTTCTCGTCTGATGGCTGCTACTTTTTCAATGAATACAAGTCATTTTCTGAAAAAGACAGGGGATGGGAGCTCTGAAGCCTGTGAAAAACAGTATGGCATTACATTAGAAAAGCATCCCAGTGTGATGAGGAGTGGTTAAGAAAAATGAAAGGTTCCATTTTAGACAGGTTAAATGCCCAACAGATATCCAGACTCTCAAAGTACAGTATGAACATGAAAGCAACAATACTGTAATTAATCTTTGATCATGCTGCACGAAGCACAGTGTATCCTATATTAGGTACTCAAGAGGGAATGAACAAGGGAATGAACGAAGTAATTTTTTTTACATATTTTCACAGCACATTTAATATCATCTGTCATATTCTACAACGGAATTGCAGAAAATATTCTTTTCAGAAATCATATATTTTCCTTTTTTCTCATTTTTAGTTCTCAGTGTTCTTGGAAGAAAATCAGTCTGTGTCTTCCAATTTTATCAATTCTTCATTTTCTCTGAAGACATGATATGCTGGTCTTCTAAAATAACTGTTAAGCAGAATTCACCAGTGGGGCAATTCTCACAGGTAAAAGGAGAATCTATATGCCTATGTGAACATGATTTGTGACAATCATGAGAATATAGTTAACACTAAAATTTTAAGCTCTTGCAAAGAAGGATTAATCTCTTCTCTGTATCCAGGACATGCCTGCCGATGCTAAATCACACATGCATGCTGAGTGAAGAATACCTTTAGCTCATGTATAGGGATCACAAGATGATCTCAGTCAAACCTCAACGTAGCCCAGAAGAAGAGAAACACTGGCTGTCTTAGGAGACAAATTAGCACAAGGTACTATTTATGTATCATTTATCAACTGTGAAATTTTAAAAAATGGTTATAAATACAGTACTTGCAGCATAAACCGTTATTTGTTTTATTACACTAAGTTCCATTTAAAAGGACTCCATTCATGCAGGATGCTCTGTTTTGGTTGGCTGAGCAGTCAGATTTCTGTGCTTATAATTCATGTATATACTTACTATGTGTATTGAGTGTACTCTCTTAATTCCAGTTGCCACAGCCAGACTGTAAATGCATATGTTTTTGTCATTCTTAACTACTGTAATTCAGAACTTCAGCTGCCAAATTTGGTGCTAATATTCTCACATATGCAGTTCATGCTCTGCTCTTAAATAATTCCTTGTTTGCTGTCAGCACCTTCTACCATGATATATAAAATGGGAGAATCAATTTAAAGAAAAATAACCTAAATTGTTAACTAAATGGAGCTACAATGTATTTTTCTTCTTGAAAATATTCCCTTCCCTATTATTTCCTTTATTTAGTAATTATAAACCCTGGTCAAGCAAAAAATATATATAGCAGAACATTTTAAGTATCAGCAAACCATAAACAGCTGTGTTTTCAAGAAGAAAAAAAGGAAAATCTCAGTTTCATGCTAGACCATTTTTTGAGGCACTGTCATTTTAAGTGTGGAGGCATCAATTATTTCCCCTAGGCTGAAAGGTCTACACATATAAAGGTTCTATAGATCCACTAAGAAAATAAGCAACCATTTCTGTGTATCATTAAACACAACAGGATACTAGTCCTGAAACACCGGCAGAATTCTGAGTGTGAACATTAAGGTTTCATACATCAGTTTCAAGTGAAATAGTTGTTTTAGGCCAAAGACGTTTGAGACCATACTTCAGGTTGTCAACTGCATAATATTTCAAGGGTCAAAACTAGCTCCATTTCAAAAGCCTGTAACCTTACAGTCTGAAGAAACCCTGTGGGTCTCCTAGTTCAATATGACACTCAAGGCAGGAATTTTTCCCCTAGCATCCCTGACAGATGGTCAGCCTCTGTTGCAATTACTCCAGTGGGGGAGTTCTCAACAGAAGGTTCCCAAGGGCTATGATGAAAGGCCAGAACCAGCCATTCAGACCTGGAGTAAGGCTCCAGTCAGTAAGCTCGCAAGATACAGACAGCATTACCAAACATTAAAACCAGACTTCCACAAGCAAGAATGCGATTCTGAATTGACCATCATAAGGATGCAATGTCTAAGACACGCAGACCCCAATTCTAGAACCATCAAAGGTCCTTTCACTGGCCTAGGGAGTAGCTCTCACAACTGGGGAAGCAAGGTGGCTTTTCTCCGATTTTTTTTTTTTAAAATGACTCTTTAAGGCTCACAGCAAGGCTTGATCAAGTCAGGGAGCATCAAATCCCTTCCTTCCAAAAATCAAGGCAAGGGACCCCCTGGCGGAAATGCTAAGGCTTAAAATACTCTTAACTTTGTTCTTAAATTCGTCACTACAGTAAACCAGAACATTTCGGGTTTTTCTTTTAAAGATGTACATAGGCTATGCTATAACTGAAGTTTGGATGGTGTAGGGTAGATGGGGGGTGGGGGGCGAGCGGTGTTTTCAGCGCAGCCCTTCATCCCGCCTTGAAGTCTGGCTTGATTCTCCCTGGAAATCCAGGCGAGCGCGCGGGGCTGAGCTGCCTGCCAGTCCCCAGCCGGAGCCTGGGACGGGGCGGTCCGGCCCTTACCTGTCAATGCTGATCACGCACAGGGTCATGATCGAGGCCGTGCAGCACATGACGTCCATGGCGATGAAGACGTTACAGAAAAAGTGGCCAAAGATCCACTTGCCCCCGATGAGGTCGGTGACGCTGACGAAGGGCATGACCGCCACGGCCACCGAGAGGTCGGCCAGCGCCAGGGACACGATCAGGTAGTTGGAGGGCTGGCGGAGCTTCTTGACGAAGCACACGGAGATCACCACTAGGCAGTTGCCCGCGATCGTCAGCAGCGTGATGAGCGTCAGGATGGAGCCGATCACAACTTTCTCGGCTCTGCCGTAGTTGATCTGTTCCCCACAGCCGGAGGCATTGTCCGGGGGCGCGTCCCAGGTGGGCGCGGGGCTGGCTGTCACCTCGCTCAGCAGGTGCGGCGCCCAGGAGCCCGCGACCGGGTCGGCGCCACCGTCGGGGCTCAGGTCGGGCAGCCCGCGCCCCACCTCTGGCAGAAGGAAAGAGCGGAGGTGCCCGTAGAGGTCTGGGCGGCCGCTGCTGTTAACGTCCATCATCGCGCCGCCGTGTGCCGCTGCCCATGGAGCCGGCGCCCCCGCCACGCGCTCCGGCTGCCGGCCCCCGGGCTTCACCTCACCGGTTCCGCTCCGCCCGGCCCAGCCATGGGGCCCGCGCCGACCGCTGGGGGGCGCCCCGCTCGGTCTCGGAGCCCCGCACTCCCCGGACCCCCGGCCGCTGCGGATAACGCGGGAGCGCGGCCTCACGGGGACTCCCTGCGGGAGGCACCTCGGCCCCCGACGGACGCCCGGGACACGCGAAGTCGAGGGAGCTCGGGCCGGGCTCCGCCGGCAGCTCCACAGCTCGCAGCAGCCGCTCGGCTGGGCCGAGAGCGCCCGGGCGGCAGCGGCAGCGGCAGAAGTTGCGGAGTGCGCCCCGCCGCGCGGGGCCGCCCGCCGCGCGCCGCGCCGCCGGCCGGCGGCTTCCCTGCGGCAGCCGCGCCGCGTCCCCGCCGCCGCCGCCTCCGGCCGCTGCCCGCGCCCTCGCGCTCCTGGGACGGGATACCCGGGCTGGGCAGGGACGGCCGCCTCTCCCGCGCCTCCCTACTGTGAGGGGGCGGCGCTGCACGCGCCTCCCGGGATCCCGGGATCCCAGGTCCCTTCGCCCGGGAAGCTGTCCTTGCCGCATGATAGATACTCAGAACCCCTCCAGCCGACCCCAGCCTCCGCACAGTAGTCAGCCACAGTTCAGTGGGGCATTTTTCTTTTGTTAAGAGGCCTAATGAGCCAGCGGATGTTCGGGTTCATTGCGAAATGAAGAACCTGGAGGGGGATTTTATTTTTCTTAATTAAACAAACAAACAAAAAAAACCTCTCCGAGCACTACACTAAGCAACAAATAGGTACTTCCGTTTTCTATTTTGACCGCTTATGGAAAGAAGCGAAGATGGAAAAGAAGCAGCCGAATGGGGTGAGGGTGGGAGCTCCGAGAAGAGGAAGAAGGAAAAAAAGGAAGGGGGATTCCTTAAGCCCCTGGCACTTGAAAGATGGGGATGCTCTGGGGACGAGGCCTCCAAGGGGGTTAAACCCATTTAGACTAATCCTTCCTGGATGTCTAGAAACAGTCCTCTTCGCTCTGAAAATAGACCCTGATTGCCCTTATATTTCGACTTCAAAGCCTAATATATTGAAAAGAGAGTTAATTTTCCCGTAGCATTCTGGAAGTGTTACACATAAGCAAAGAAATGGCCGGTTATACTGTTCTATAGAGGAATCCGCGAGGTGTATGTTGATTTAATACCTATTGGCTAAAATTCTCCTTAGTATCTAAACCCTGTCAGAGCGACTGATTTTTATTGTTTGTGAGACTTGCTTCATTCCATTTCGTTTAAAGGTTTCACTGGAAGCCAGCAGTGATTTCTTTAGTTTAAGACTCTAAAAATAATCAAATCTGTTTTCTTTTCTTGTTAGGCCCTAGCGGATTATAAATAAGAAGAAAAGGAATAAAAATCTCAAAGTATGTTGATCAGAGTGCTGAATAGTACTTCCATTCTTCAAGGTGGGTATTAGCCCTGTTTTTCCAGATAAGGTAACTTATTTGCTCTTGCAATCAGCTAGTAAGAAATAGTTATGTTTCAAACCCAGGTTTATCTGATTACTATGCCCATATTTTTCCCTGTACACATTCAAAGAAAGTTTAATGAAAAGAAAAAAAAAAAAAGCCCTCATGGTTGGCCAATGTTCACAGCTCTCTTGCTGTGATCAACATTTCAGAGGCTCCTCTCTGCCTAGGATAAGCAAACCAATCCATTGAGTCAGAGGAAGAATGGAAGATAGTATCTAGGCCACAAAGCAATATTATCTAATAGTTAAGAAGATGGATGAGGAAATTTCTTCAACCTTACTTATGTCAGTTATTCTCTGTTTCGCTTTTCTTGGTTTCAGTTATCTGTGGTGAACCATGGTCTGAAAATATTAAATGGAAAATTTCAGAAATAAACAATGTGTAAGTTGTTAATTGCACACTATTCTGAGTAGTGTGATGAAATCTCTGTCTTACCCAGGATATGAATCATCCCTTGTCCAACATATCCACACTGTATATACCACCCACCATTAGTCACTTAGTAGCCCTCTCTCTTATCAGATGGGGAAAAACAAAAACATAGTATATATAGGATTGAGTACTATCTGAGGTTTTAGGCATCCACTGGGGATCTTGGGAGATATCCCCTGAGGAAATCTCAGACAAAAGACAAATAGTTTGTTGCTGGAATACATCTAAGAAACCATTTGTTCACCCTTCAGTGCAGAGGAGGAAATAGAGGCTGGGAGAAATTTTATAACTTGTCCAAGATCATATGTGACTGCATTGAAATGTCTCCATTTTTTATTTTGAGGTGTAGAATTGTCTTAAGGTCTTCTAAAAATTCGTTCATGATAGTTATTTCATTTTAACTTTTCAATTCGTTTTAACTTACTTTGACTTTTGTATTCTTCCCCTTGAATACCCTAATCAGTTCAGCTTATGTATTCTGTCTTGGCTCTGTCAAATAATATTCCACAATAATTACCCACAGATTTTGAAAATTAATCGTTTTATTTGTATTTAAATCTCTAGTCAATATGATTTACCACCTACACTCTTACCAGCCCTCACATAGCCCATTTATATTTCACAACAGCTTCTAGTTTTTGCTTTTGTCTTGTTTTAGTCCCTTTGGGATGCCATAACAAAAATATCATAGCCTGGGTGACTTAACAACAAAGATTTACCAAGATCAAGGCACCAGCAAATTCAGCATCTGGTGAGGGACAATATTCTGGCTTATAGACAGCCATCTTGCTGTGTCCTCACCTGGCAAAGGGGGTAAGAGAGCTCTCTGGGTCTCTCTCTTTTTTTTTTTTTTTTTTTGAGACAGAGTCTTGCTCTGTCACCCAGGCTGGAGTGCAGTGGTGCGATCCCAGCTCACTGCAACCTCCACCTCCCAGGTTCAAGCGATTCTCCTGCCTCAGCTTCCCAAGTAGCTGAGATTACAGGCACATGCCACTACACCTGGCTAATTTTTGTATTTTTTGTAAAAGAGACTGCGTTTCACCACCTTGGCCAGACTGGCCTCAAACTCCTGACCTCAAGTGATCCGCCTGTCTCAGCCTCCCAAAGTGCTGGGATTACAGGCATGAGCCACCACGCCTGGCCTGGGGTCCCTTTTATGAAGGTACTAATCCCATTTAGGAGGATTCCACCCTCATGACTTAATCATCTCCCGAATCATCTTCCCTCTCCCATCTGACAAAGGCCTAATGTTCAGAATCTATAACTTAAATGAAGAAACAAGCAAGAAACAAATAACACCATTAAAAAGTGGGCAAAGGACATGAACAGACACTTCACAAAAGAAGACATACAGGTGGCCAACAAACATGAAAAAATGCTCATCATCCCTAACCATCAGAGAAATGCAAATCAAAACCACAATGAGATGCTCTCTCACACCTGATACCATCACAATGGGGAGTAGGATTTCAACATACCAATTTTTCGGAGGAAACAAATGTTCATTCCATAACAACTTTTAAATTGTGTGACATATAAATACAAGAAATAATCATTAAAATACTACTTTTTAAATTACTTCCTCTTTCATTGTCAATATAGTGTCCAGTCCAAGCTCCCTTTTTTATAGAACAGTCACGTCTATTATATTATCCCTGGTGATGGCTGAGTGTATTTCCCAAGAGTTGCTAGGTTTTTAATTTATAAGCTGTCACAATGCATAAACATACTTATTGAAAATCTCGGCTTCTACAGCATTACTTTGCTTATGTTGAGTTTAAATTTCATCTATCATTGTGTTATTCCAAAATCCTGACAGAGCAATCTGGAATTCTTTCAGTTTCCCTTTAACCTTCACTAACAAATAATTATGTCCTCATAAAAATGCCAAAATCTAGTGTATACTTTTCCATAATTTTCTCACAAAGAAACGCTAAAGATATAGCTTCACAAAATATTCATAAAATATCTAAATATTCATCTAAATTTGTTGTTTGTTCTGCCCTTAGTTTTCTGGTGTTTAAAAGCCATATCAAGGTGTTGCTTCCTTCTTCCCTCCCACCGCCCGCCTACTCTTCAACAGTTATACCAGAGACAGTGAGTAAAGTGTTGGCATCTAAATCAAATCATGTCTTTCGTTTTTATCCCTTTTATTCCTTGCATTTAAAAAAATTACTGCTTTTAAAAGTACCAACTCTTATCTAGACTCTCATTGGCTACAATAACATTCTCATAAGATTGTCAGTGAGGGCACCTGAGAATACAGCTTTTTGAGGTTTCCAGCTGGCAATCTCCTGCTCTCAGAACTGCTCTGGGGGAGGGCAGAAGAGCTGTGGAGTCTTACAGGATAGTTACCATCTTCTTATATGCCCTTCTTCCCTCTAGGTACTCATCTAGCTCGTCTAAATGCATATGCGTAATCCCATCTATGAAAACCCACACATATCCCTCCATGGGACATAAGCTTAGGATAGTTTGTTTTGCCATAAACCGGCATACCCTGACAACCTAGATGTACTTTAAAAAGCACAAATAAAGCTTCCTAACCATAGGGTTCATTGGCAACTCACTAGTCAGTCAAGCATGCTGATATCATGTCTACTGGGGGTCTGATGGCCTCCCATGCCCAATGCAGTGGACTTCCACAGGGCTACTCTTTCATTTCCCCAAATTTTTCAGTCTCTCATATTTGTACCCCATTTTCTCACTCAACTAAACTAATTATCTGGGTGTCCTTTGCCCCCAGAATTGGGTGAGAAAAGACTAGGAAAACTAGAATGCTTAGACAGTGTAGCACTAAGAGTATTGTATATAAATATCCTGATACTACCCTGTGACCATTATTGGGGCTACAGATCACTATCACAGAGACAGAACACATATGCTAGAGAAGGGACTCAAATCCATCAACACAGACATTTTTGAGGCCCAGTTAGGGTAAAAGCAGTTAGTCTGGGACACCTGAATGTCTCCTTCTCAGTGAGAGTACCCCTTGCCATAGTTGATGTCATTCTTTCTAGGGTTTTAAAGCACTTTTAAGTTATCTTTATTATAGTATATACTGTTGCATTATGCTTCATATTTCCATGACATCTTCCCCATTAGACTGTGAACTCACCAAAGGGATATTTCCTTACTCCTGCCATACACTAGGTGTCCAATAAACATTAGTCAGTTGAACTGAGTGTAGAATAATGCCTATAACCAAGAATCCGTCATGTTTCAAGGTAATTGTTCAGCTTAAAAATGAATCGTGAGTTTTGTTTTAATTTAGACATACTAAAAAAAAGTACATTTCTTCTTTG